TGGGGAAGGCCTGTGCCCCTACAGTGGGGACAATGATAGGCTGAGGATTATGTTGAAAAATTATAATCAAATGAATAAATAAAACTAATGCCTGCGTTATTTCTAGAGAAACATTTGGAGCTAATAGATCAAGTGATACCGAGAAAAAAATTGTAAAACAACCAGGTTTGGAACGGAAAGAATTCTCTAAAACTATGAATAGTACTACTGTTGCCAATGATGAATCTTTCAAATCGAGACAGCTCCTTACGACTTCCACATCAACTTTTACTTTGGACGAATCACAAAAGCAACTGAAACTGCAGGTATGATTTATTATGACCAGGAAGAATGGGTGTTTCTACTAATAAAATAATTAACGTTAACAAGACACTAACTTTAAATAACATTTTAGGGTAATAGTAGTGTGCATGGAGGAAAATCGTGGTCAGTACTAAAGAAAAACATGAATGTGTTTGGTGCACCGTTTACAAAAAATAAAGGCTTTTATAATATGGTACCAACACTGACTTTGGAAGCAAAAACTATTCTAAAATCTAATCCTAATCGGTGTAACCGGCATGAATATAACGTACTTAAAGAAAAGTCTGAATCTTATAATGACAATAAACCCTTGGTAAGGACATTTAAATCGATGAGATTTTATAGTAACGTAAATGAAAAATATCTAGATACTATGTAGCAGTATCTACATTTTTTTTTCTATAGAAAAAAGATATGATATTTTTGTAAGTTCCGAAATAGGGTTCTGTTTTATAATAATAGCGCCATATCTTAATATATTTTTGTGTTTATTTTTGTATTAGGCAAAAAATATATACACTACTGCCTTTTAAGTTAGTGTCTGTTTTTTCGCCTGCCTAGGAATAGACTACAGCCGTTATATTTCAAAGTTTCAAGAACTAATCTTCTATACAATTATAGGTATCGCAAAAGCAAGAAATCGATAATTCAAATCAGGATACTTTAACAGATAGTTTTGATGATCTGAAATCACCCAAGGTATAATATGCATTTACTATTATGCCTATTTTTTTTAATAAAAGACGTTTCTATAAAGCGGTAACTTAGACCTGAAGAAGACTGGGCTGAAGAATAACTGAGAACGAAGTATTAATGTGATATTAAAATAATAAAAATCCCGGTAGTATAGATTACAAACAAAAAATCAACAGCTTAAGAGCCATGATACTTAATGACAAGAAATATAGTAAAAATACAAGAAGGAACACACCTAAGTCTAGTGGGATATCTAAAGAGAATATTATCACAAACCATTAAAATTAAGCTTCTATAGTTATAATAATTATGTACATAAACAGCAGAAGTTTAATGGCATTCAAGTCTTAATGTGGAATGTTTTGATGGTAGGTATAATGTCTGACTTAATTCAAATTTAACTCTTTCCAATACTCCAGAATATAAGTAGCAGTTGTGAATCTATGAAAGTAAAAGTCCTGGGTTTAAGAAGAATTTCCCACCACACTATTCTCGTTAAATGGAAAGCACCACGTGATTTGACCAATGTCGAAGGTTACGAGGTGAGCTTTAAGCGTATTCTGATCAAACTTACAGAAACTTACAGCACCCTGCATCCCTTAAGCCTCAAAATAGGGTTCTCACGCTTTAATTTTTAACTGCCGTACCACACTTTAACCTGAGCCTGCTGGATCCACATATAACCTACCTAGATTACAAATGTTCCACAGAACGGTCTCCCTCCTGCAATGCGAATTTTGTCTAACCAAGCCATAAAGCAACCCGTTTCTTTCATTTTAGTTCGATTTTTGCAGTCGTGTTTTTGCTTTAATTACAAAAAAGAACTCTTGATTTTTCTTCAAAATACCGTTACTGACTCCATGGGTGCGCCAAACTCTCTAGCAATAGCTCTATACTTTGACATATTTTTGGATGGATAAACGACTAAGTTAGTAGAAATACTGCTATCATATCCATATTCATCCTTTACAATTTGATTGTTTTTATTAGAGTAAATGTGATATCAGTAAAATGGATTGACGAAAGCAAAACGTGTTGTAAAAATTTCGTATTATCCGTAGATAGACTAGGACTCAAATTTAGGGACCAAAACATGGAACTGATTTACTTTTGTACCTATCGATTTGTCCGCAGTTGCTCATTGACGGGCGAGCAATCCAGACTATTCTGAGTCCGAATCGACGTATGGCCGTAGTGAGTTGCTTGCCGAATTTAGATCATATGCTTATCACCATAAGGACTATCGTCACCTCGGGAAAGTATCGCGACCATCGCCCTTCAGCCAATATCGTCTACAGACCGCGTAATCATTAACACAATAAACTGATTTAATGGAACTGTTGCATTTTCAGTTTGTAGTTCACCCTTTACCTGCTACTATTATATAAGAAAATAAGGCTTATTTTATAAACGGGAATCAAAACTGTAAAAATGAATTGTAATAACTCAAATTAAAGATAGTAAATGAATGAGAAAAACAGAATTAACTCCTGTCACCATCGAAATCATCAACAAGTTCTTAAGAAATTTCATAAATTTTTTGAGAGTTTCTATTTGAGTATCAGTATTATTAATTGAAATTATTTTTGTTTCTCAGAGTGGTGACAAGTTCTTATATGTTGCGGTACATAAGTGTGATGAATTTAAAATCTACCCTAATTATTATATTTGATCAATTTTACACCCACAATTCTATACTGACAAATATTCATAATGAAAAATGCTTAAAAAAATCCCATCTCAGAGTGCCAGAGTTTTTTTTTATCATTAAGAAACTCCACTAATATTATAACTAGGTAAAGTTTCCAACTTTTCTTCATTTGTTCGTAGTGGATAGATTTATTATCTTGGTAGGGAGTAATAGTCGGAAATACTGATTCGATCATAACAATTACTTTATGTATGTTGCTGGCAACACATTGTCTATGATCTGTAACACAGTAGAAGCAGTTTAGTTGTTGTTTGTAATATCACAGAAAGACGCCATTTATATATACTCTGCAATTTTTATGTTCAAGAATAAAGTGTTTGTGTTAAAAATATTGTTTTCCTCATAATTCTCAAGAACCACAGCGCGAAACAATGTAGTGGAAGCTATATCATATGCAAGTGACATAGGCAGGCAAAGTCGCGGAAAAACAATTAGTTATTCATGTTTTTTTTTAATATTAGTACATCGATGATTATAATTTAACCTAGGCATCGACAAGTGTAAGCAATTCCCGAAAATAACGTGCGGTAAGCCTATTTCTGTTCATCGAACATCAGAGATTTAAGATTGGAAGAAGAATCAACTGAACGAGGAAAAATGCTTTCAAGACAGTAGTTATGCTGGAGAGTGCTGACTTGTGCTCCAAACGCTATAAAATCTGTAAAATTTGCATTCTTCTGGGCCTCATTCTGAAGAGCCACAGAAGGGATTCTACTTTTAAAATATTGTTTACCAAACGATCAGTTGCACAAACGTTTTATAAAATTATAAACTTTTAAACTTTTGCGTTGCATTATATTAGATTGTATAAGACGGGTATTATCGCAGAAACAGGTGTAACCTGGTCGAAACGTCGGGAAATATTGGTAGGTGAAATCCTAATCGAAATCTATCGCGTTAATACCCGTCTTATACAGTCTTATAAAACTGTCATTAGTTTAAAGCGTCATTAGCGTTACAAATATTAGAACATTAGAGTTTAAAGATATCATTAAACCTTTAATGGACGTTTGGCTGAAAGAACTGCAACTGACCGTAAGTAGTTGCAGTTCTGTCTGCTTATACTATTGTATAAGCAGGCAGATCTTCAAAGAAATAACACAAAGAGTAATAACCGATCAGTCGGTTAGGGCCATATATTACAGATGATATAAATAGATAGATCTTTAAATAATCGTGAACCATATGAGAAACTCAAAATGATCAAATACTAAATAAATACCTAGGTATATAAGCTCCTTAATATATATACTTATGTACTTTACTCTTTTATCTATAACATGAACTATGTTTTATGATGGCTCCTTCACCGTCAGAGTTGTGCGTCTTTGGAATGCTCTTCGGACTTCATGAATACGGAACAACCCTTCCATAAACGTGCTCAATCATTAAATATCTTCAAATCAATTGTTTCTGCTAATAACCCTTTCTTCATTTCATTAGTATTTGTATCATATTATTTTATGCATTTATATATTATGTTATATGTATTTATGTAAGTATATTTTATGTCTCATCTTCTGGTATCTATTTTTATTATGCTTCAATTATTTATTTGGAATTACCAAGTTTACACCCCCGTTTGGTTACAATTAACATTCCTCTCAATCCAAAGGTTGTCTGGTCTCGATTTCAGTTCAAAAATCGCTTTCAGCGATAAGATCGCCATTTGTTACACTTTGATGTATTGTTTAGTTTGATAAGTTTATGAAGATATCTTGGTTTTTTTTTTTTTTTTTTTTTTCAGTATGGACTTGTTCCGTTATACACGGAAATTTTGCCAACATCCCGTAGTGAGAGAGACACGTGATTTAAGAGACTGAACGATAGTTATAATTAAATATGTACGGTAATTAATCAATTCTTCCTTGAGATTGTTCTTTCTCTACTAAAAAAAGGATAAACTACTACTAAGACGATAAAGCGTAAAGGAAAATTATTGTTATTATGACAGCTGCCGAGATTTTGACAGAGTTAGTTTTTATATATTCTTTGAGAGATGTGTACAGTCAAGAGCACGTTGTTATACAAAACTATGAAAATATTCCATTTGATTTTAAACCTTAATACATAGTAAGTAGAGTTCAAAATCAATTGCGGAAAGAACTATTGTGGTACCTGACGTACAACCCTGCGTACAAAGAGAATATATATATAACCTTATATAACCTTTGTTGTGTCATTATTACTTCAAACGTATGTAGTAACATTTAAGTAACAGAAAATCACGCAAAGGATTAGTTGCATTTGATGTAGAAAATTCAAAGTTGTATATTAACCCTAGTACAAAATGAACAGAAACCAACGCAGACTCGGTAGACAGCATCAGAAGCGGCTTGAGGAGGCTAAATATATTAAGACAGAATTAGAAGAGGTACTGTCACCGAAAAGTAAGAGGGATCCTTTCAAATTACAAAGATTCACGACGAACAAATGCTGCCATGTGGCACCCACTTCTGAAGATTTTGGACAAAGCACTGATGATGCAACTGATCGAGCGATTGATGAAAACGAGCTAACCGATAAGGTCAGTACAAGATTCTACTGTTACCTGATAACATGTCCAAATTTCAAAATGTATATATAAGCTTTAGCAATTTTGAAACTTATGTTGAACTCTGTTATTGTCTTAACACAATTCAAGCCACAATTTCAGTAAAATGAAAAGAAATACCCCATAACATCTCTAACATGTCATATTCTATGGCTAGAGAATTACGCGATCGCTCTCCTAAATAGGAGAGACGGTGTGAAAATATCTAGTAACGTAATTTTGAATTAATAGAATATGGAATAATGGGGACCCGGTCATTCCGAATGGTGTCTTTTAACGCCATGAATCACTCGTTAGTTCATCATAATTCCAACTTTCAAACATAAACCGTACTAATTCCTTGACAAAATATAATTTTATTGTTCTTGTTTTACTTTTTGTAATTGATTTCTTTATAAGGCTCGCTGACTCGAATATCTACTTAAGTCTCAGTTAATCGTCATTATTATATTCCTTTTCCGTCTCTCTCGCTGCGATTTTCCCACCAGTTTATTTTTAATAGCATTTCATTGTTTTTGTGTATTATTGCATAGTTATTTTAATTTGCGCGGTATATGTATTAGCTGTGTAGAGGCAAGCATTAAGCTTAGCAATAGGAGATTGATAAGTCGGAATAGTACTATAATATAGTAATAGATATTGATCTTATATAAAAAAATATGATTAACACATTTACAGTACCAGAATATACTCAAAGAGCAATTCGGATTTGACCCACTAATGCCAGAAACGATAAAACAATTAAAAGAATTGAGAAAAGTGCTCTGTAACAACACAACTAAAGTTGAGAATTGTTCGCAATATGCTGAGGAAAAGAATCAGTCTTGTTCTGAGTTTGCTAATATCGATGGAACTAATTGGCAGACTGTTGACAACGAAAAAGAAATTGATAAGTATATCTCCCACAAAAAAGGTAGTATTTTAAGGTTGTTAGCAGATCAACATTAGAATTCTGAAGATTCGATGCATTGATTGTGTAGGTTCATGTTTTCATACAACAATTCCAAATTCTGCCTCCTTTGACGCGGTCGATAAACATTGTCGTAAAGAAAAACCATAAAAATACAGTGTAACCTTATATCTCTAAGTCATTTTCAAATATAGAGATAGATTATATATTTGAATACCACTCCCCCAATCAAAGACCAAACACTAATAACATATCGGTAAGTTAATCTTGTAAAGCTTGACTTCAATGTAAGTAAAATGTCTTGAAAAGTTCAGAAATTGAATGAAATATGTGGTTCATACTTATCTCAAAAATGTTATTATATTTATATATTATACACGTCTTTCTTTATGTAAATATAACAGGAAAATCAGACGCGTGTTTATACATGCCAGAAAACGTACGAATAATAGAACCACCTCGGATAAAAATCATTGCAAAGAAATTCTCGAAATGCAAGAGAAACAACATAGAACTACGAAAGCTTGACGAAAAAGTGGCTTGTGTGGAATACGATGTTTTCATTGGCAACGATGAGACGCCTAGGGAAAAACTAAGGGCGTTCTTTTCTATAAAACCCAAATATGGAAAGAATGGCTGTGAGAAAGGTATGTTGTATGAAAAAAAAATAAGTTCAGAGTATATGCACAATTGAAAAAAATCCCGTCAAATATTCACAGAAATAAAAGTAATTAATGACTCCATATGTATACATAGTATACTTGAAGATCATATCTTGCTCGTGCCTCGTTTATCCCGGGCATAATCGGGCTACTGAATAACATGAATTTTATCGAGTATGCATTAGCTTTTTATTATAAATTAATCGATAAAAAAACCCAACAAATGTCGAGCATAAATGGACGATGGGAAAATAACTTGATGGGAAAAAACCCGGATTTTTTTCCATTTTAATATATAAATCTGCAATTTTATTAAATGAATTAACTGATCTTAAAGTATCCTATTTCATTCGACTATTTGATTCATTATATTACATTATTTGCTCTATGGGTAGGTACATTCACTCAATTACTTGACATTCGGTCAGTTGCACAAACGTCCATTAAGGTTTAATGACGTCTTAAAGCCCTAATGAATGTCAAATTTGTATGGGTAATGTCGCTTTAAAATGATTAAAATTTTAATGGACGTTTGTGCAACTGGCTGATTGTATGCCAAATCGTCAATTGTTTCAAAACTATTGTGATGTTGCTCAATCACGTATCTACGACTTTTTAAAACGGGGCAATCTGAAATCTGATAATGATCCCCCCACCCTCACGTTCCCTGAGATAATTTTCTGTTATTTCATTTATCTACTTTGAAACCATGTCCTTCCTATTGTAGCCTGGTGTGTATGGATTTTGAAAACATTTTTGTGAAGCTCAATCTTTTTTTTATTGTATTATATTTTGACGATTTGATGCATCCCCTTGACACTAGCGCCCGGAGCCAATGATTCTACTTGCTACTCTTAAATTCGGCCTTAATGTTATATAATGGAAATATTGGTCATCATATTTTAATATATAGGGATATGTGTGCTGAATCATGGACGGTATTGCGCCCTCCGTCAAACTAACTGTATCACTTCTGTAACTTTCTTTCATACGAATGATCCACCTCTTATATTTTATAATTGGCTAAGTCAACACCAACGTCAATATTAAGTGATTGGCCGTTTTCATGAATGTATTTCAAAACATCTACCACAGTTTTCTTCCATTTCAAACTTTGTGATCTGGGATCTTACGTGGTGAATTAGTTTAATTCAATTTGTTGTATAAATTACAGCTAATAAAATTTCATCATCAGCCCTTTTACGTCGCCACTGCAGGGGTTATATAGTTAAGGAGGATGAGCCATGACTCTCTACTCTGGCCCAATGCGGATTGGAGGGTATTAACGACTTTAAATGCAGCCGAGATCAACGGCTTGCAAAAGTTGCTTAACAACAACGATTGCGGTCACATCCAGCAGAATCTCCATCCAGTAAATTCGTTTTTGTTGCTTCTGACACCGTAAAATTTACATAGACAACATATAATAATAAAGTATCAACAGCAAGTGATATGAATACTTTGATAGGCTCCTGTATACGCAGGGTTCGCAAAGTAAATTTAATGTATTCGATATACGTCAAAGCGGCAACACTTCTGAGTGTGTATTTCTAATTATTTGTAATGGCCACTGAGTAAATAATAGCATTAATTTCAATAAGAGTCACAAATCAGTGGCTTTCATTCACCTTAAAAACTTGGCTTTTAGGCCTCAGGTTCGAATAACCTCTTGATTTGAATTAGTATTCTTGAAAAATTTCTTTTGAAAAGAATATTTCAATGTGATACATGATATGTTTTCACCTTCTTAAACTTTGTTTACGTTAATATTTAAATAATTTCAGTATTACCGGAAGATGTCTTCCCCCACTTTATAATTTCTAACTCTACTTGCGCCCCGTTCTTTTTCTTCGTTTTTCCCAAGTGAAGAGATACTATGTATCGGTCCTCAAACCTCAAATTCGCCGATATTTATAGGTTACGATGACCATTTTACACATTAATATTGTTATTAAATATTTAATTTTATTTAAACAAAAGGTATCTTATCTTTTTCTATTATTTGACTGGATTTTTTTATCCAGGCATCATCCATACGTCATAGAAGTTTTTGTGCGCGGCATGTAAGTTGGGCCAAAATGGCAACTGCGCAGTGGCATATTTTAGAATCTCAATCGGAGGCAGGACCTGCGCTAAAAATTGATATTTTGGTTCAACTTACGTGGCACGCAATATAATATTTTGACATAAATACTAAATAATCCTCAGCTCTGGTTGATAAATTCAACAAAGTCTGTGACGACCTGAAAAAATTCCCTGAGAAAGAGATCGAAATCATTGGCCGCAAAATAGAAGAGAACAAATCCTACTTGGACGACCTAAAGAGAATTTTGAGAAGAAAACAGGCTATATTTAATAAAAAGAATAGGAACACTTTAGATTTGATGTCTCTTTACGAGATGGCTAAGAGGGAAAGTCCCCCTTTGGCCGATGGTTTCTCCAGTACAAACTTTCTGTCTAAAGCTGAATTGCAAGAGATGAAAAATTTAATTCTAAAGAAATGCGGTTCGAGCGTTCACGGCATAAATAGAAGAACATTGAAGGAGGGATCGAGTGTAAAGGCTGGCAACATGGGTTTTATATCTCAGAGTATTGTTGATGAATTATGGAGAGAAACAGGTGATATTGACAAATAAACTGCGTGATTTCTGTTCATTTGTTTTTTTTTTGTTGAGACATTTTTTTAAGTATTGCCGTGGCAGTAGTTTACACGTCGGTTTTTGTATCCTATACCATGAACTTTTGTATCGTTTTGGATTACGGTGTTGTGTTACTTTCGTCGTATCAGATTTCACTAATAGATGATTTTTAGCTACTTAGCTTGGCATCTGATCAATGTGTGTGATGTTATCTAATATGTATCTATTATTATCAAATGATATATTGCAGAAATGTAGCATTTTCAAAACTTTAAAAATGAGGGAGGCATTTGGAGCGGTTGCCATTTTCTGTCCCCAATGATACGTAGCAAAGCGACGGCATTCGCCATGGAGGGAAAACGAGTCATAACCCGAAACGAGTATCCAGAGTTGTAAATAAATTAATAAGATATCGGCTCCAACTGCATGCGCAGTCGTTAGCACTCTTCAATTCGCACAACTCGCTTCGGCCATGCTCAGGGTTATATGATGGGCCATGCTCAGGGCCGGGTCTAGGGAAGCGCCAAAATCATGTTAATATAATAGTAGAACAATATCAAGTTTTTACCCAGGTTGTAAGAAGTTGTAGATCCGGGCCTATCCATACTCCCTTAATTTTTCTATCAGTTTATATAAAAAACAGTATTGAATTAATGGCAACACACGTTACGGCTGCTATATAATTTTTTTTTATACAAGACGCAATATCTGTATGCATAATTATTACTTAATATATAATTATATTCACAATGTCTTTTTCGGATAGGCATGAAATAAAGAAAACCAAAGATTTTAACAATAATCTTCAAAAAATATATTAATTAAAATGCAGTAATATATTTACATTGATTTTAACTTACAAGGTATTACTAGTGCTTAGGTGTTCTAGAAGGATCTAGGCCGAGTTTTTTCATTTCTACTGCCATTTCGAACAAGTAGTCATAACATTCAGTCCTGCAACAAAATTGAATATATTATATGATAACGGTTGTCTGTAAAAATGAATCGAAGCAAATGATACAGAAGTCTTTGGATAGCGATGCGTATTGTATTCTTTCAACGCTCACATAATGCTTTGTGTCATTGGTCGTTTTTGTCTGCTTTAAGTAGTAAACGATTATAATTCTACACACTAATCTAGCGGACAGCAAAAATTTTTCACTACCACAACATTATCGTCTTTGTAAACGATACAATAAGACCGAAAATTAATCAATACAATAAAAAAAATCTTGTAGCGGCTATCCAAGTTTGTTAAAATCTAAAAATAAATTCAATTATAATATTTGATTAATTTTGCATTCATAATGCCATACTGAAAATTATTCTTAATACAAAATGCGCTCTGTAGTAGCGTAAAGTAACAAGTGCTTGAAAGATCCGTCAGTCCTGTTAGGTCCCGGGTAGGTCAGTGGTAGAGCAGTCGCCCGGATTCCGAAAGGTCGTGGGTTCGATTCCCATCTCATGGTGCCAGGGACCAAGTGGATTTTTTAAGCATATTGAATTAGGAATATTTCACGTATATTTATAAAATACAAATATTTAAAAGAGTTGTCTACACCCTTATTGCCGCTAAGTCGTGATTTAACTGAATATGGACAGTCGTGGTACTGCACTGCAATTTAAAAATTCTGCAGATCTCAAAATCCTAATCCTAAGATATGAACAATTCAAAACAGTTGTTTTAATTCTAAAAATATGAGTAAGCAGAATTTTGACTTTGACAAATCCTTGCCAAATAAGGGATTCGAATAGTATTTGCCTTACATAGTTTTCGCCTGTTGCCACGTGTCGCCCCAAACGTACACGCCGTGCCTCCGTACCAGTACCGCACTGGCACCGGGGTACTTCTGCAGAGCTTCCCCCATGCTGCCCGCTAGATCTTTCTCGAATGGCGTGTTCTCTATGATGGGAACCACTAGCTTCTCATCATAACGAAGGTACCGGCCGAGTTGGGCGTCTTTGATGCCCTGAACATTAAACGAAACACCGAAAATGTGTAACAGCTAAGAAAGATCTATGGAGCTGTGCAAGATTTGTTGATAACTGTGTAACACAACATTGCAATAAACACCAAAATAAATTTGCTAGTAGTGTATGAATAAATCAATAAAGCAATCTTAACAAAGCTTGTCGGCATAATGGATACAGGAGACGCTAGTAACACCAGTAAATTCACCTTTGACATGCAAAATATTACTGAGCGTGTACATCATTATAGACCATCATCAAAAACTACATCCTTAACCGATCTAAGTAATGAATCGCTGTTTGATACAACAATGATGAGCTTGCCAAGCGATTCAATTAATGAGTCTTTGAACGTTACTGAATTATTAGACAAAATTAAAACACTCACAGAACAATTAGAAAATACTAACGATCAATTGATAACTGCACGCCATGAGATTGAAAACCTCCACGGTGAAATATATCGATTAAAACTAGATCTTAATGAAACCACCAGAGAAATTGAAAACTACAAAAATGATGCCTCAGTTGACCAAGTTAATCTAACGCCTTTATCAGGAAAGAAAACCAAACGCAGGAAGCATAAACCTGTGAACGAAAGCCATCATGCCGTCACACAAAGTAAAACAAATAAAACAGTCTCCAATCTCGATACTCCACAGGAAAATCTCAATCAGGGCACAAGTGAAGATGTCAACAACTTGCATCACGAGGAGGAAATAATGAAGCTTACCAAAGAAGCGTACAAATGTAATACCAAAAGAAAACTATGTATTTTAAGTAATAGATATTATTCAGGTAAACTTCACACTATTGAAAAGACGTTTTCAGCAGACTTTGTACTTTGTCGTTACCTGCTACCTAATGCAAAAATTAAGCATCTTCTGTATAACCTGAAAGGTAAATTATCTGATTTTACTATGAACGATTATTGTATCATCGTGCTAGGTGACGCTGATTTTAAAAACAACTCTAATAGCATTGACATGATAACTGCAATCAGGGAATCGATTAAAAAAATACTTAACACTAACATAATAATATGTACACCTACGTATAGACTTGGAGCACCAATTTACAATTATAAAATAGAATTGTTCAATAGTCTATTATGTCTCGAACTACAAAATAATAAGCATGCATTTTTCTTCGACTCAAATGAAATCTTGACATATGAAATGTTCTCATATTTGACAGGCAGAATAAATAATTTTGGCATACGAAATATTTATCAGAATATCATAAAGCGGATAAGAATTGATTTCGAGAATTTTCCTTTAATCACATCAAAATCTGACTGCAATAAAGCCGTTGAGAGTAATTCAAATCATAATCACGACTCTTCTAACTGTTTATTTCGTGTCTAATTCATTGTTTATACTACACCAAAATATAAACGGCCTAATCAATAAGTCGGATACATTTATGGTTGACCTGGAGACTTTAAAAGATGGTGGAACACCAGTAGATATTATATGCATAATCGAACACAACATGATAGTGGATGACATACCTCGTTTAAATGTTTCTAATTATAAACTTGCATCCTATTCTTGCAGACAAAAACGTAGAGGAGGCTCATGTATTCTAGTCCAAAATCATCTTGAATACGAAAATGTACCTAATATAGTCAAACAGTCCATATACGACGTTATTGAGTGCTCAGCAATCAAACTAAAACAATATAAGATTTATATTATATGTATCTATAGACCTCCACGATCTAAAGTAGAACTTATTACTTTGTTTTTCAGTAAGCTAGAAGGGATATTGAGTTCTTTTATTCATATAAATAACTATAAATTAATTATCTGCGGTGACTTTAATATTGACATTTTAAAAAATTTTAAAACAACTAGAGAATTTAAATTGATGCTGTCTAAGTATGACTTGAAATTTCAATTTAATGAACCCACTAGACTACGCAGTAATACTTGTTTAGATAATATTATACATAGCATATACGGTGCAAAAGGTGAGATAATAGAATTAGTATTGTCCGACCATTCTGCACAAATCCTCAAGATACCGGTCAAAACATCATGTCGACTGAAACATTGGTATACATATCGACGCGACTTTTCTCGTGACAATATAAGGAAATTCAAAGATTGCTTGGAGAGCCTCAGTTTTAACGAAGTATATGAAATAAATGATACTAATGACTCATTTAATTTATTTCACGACCAATTTACGTTATTTTATGAACTCTGTTTTCCAAAAATAAAAGTAAAAATATCAACTACAAACAAACCTAAATGGGTCTCGAATGGTATTAAATCATGTAGCAAAAAAAGACGACATCTATTGTGGAAATACCGTCTATCTCCAACACCATTAAATAAATCTTTATATAAAAATTATAATCGGCGGTACAAGAAAATAATTAATCTCACACAAAAGTCACAGAATGATTACTACATAAACCAATCTAAAAACAAAGCTAAATCTATATGGAAAATAATTAATAAATGTAACAACAACTTACCTAGAGAAAACATTTCCAGTATTATGTACAATGATGACATAGAACTCGATAATCTGACTGAAATAGCAGATGCATTTAATGACTTTATTATTGATTCCATTAAGACAGCCGATGACAACAAAACCAAAACTAATTTTTTGAGACATAATCATTGTGGTTCCATGTTTCTTACACCAATTGTGACCTCTGATATACAAAATCCAATACATTCTCTAAAAAATACGAACAGCGTAGGTTTTGATGATGTCTCTACCAGTATCATTAAAGCTGTATCGACTGCAATAGCACCAATTCTATGTCATATTATTAACCTTTGCTTAGAGCAAGGTATATTCCCAGAGAGAATGAAACTAACAATTACTATCCCAATATATAAAAAAGATAATAAAAAGTTATTAAAAAATTATCGTCCTATTGCATTGGTCTCTATTTTTTCAAAGATAATCGAACATATTATGTATGATAAATTTAACAACTTTTTTGAATGCAACAATTTCATTAAAGGATGTCAATATGGTTTTCGGAAAGGTAAATCAATAAATATGGCAGTTTATGAGTTTTTAGGAAAAGTTATTAACAGCGTAAACAAACGAAAGCCTACAATCGCTTTATTCATGGACATGACTAAAGCTTTTGACAACGTACACCACAAAACATTAATCAGAAAACTTGAAGCATATGGTGTAAGAGGCAATGCCATCAAACTTATTGTATCTTATCTAAGTAATAGAAGACAAGTCACGCGCTTAGAGGGAATTAATCCTAAAACTGGTATTAATACTGCTTGTGTGTCAAGAGAGAGAGAGGTCTATTATGGGGTACCTCAAGGTAGTATAATGGGTCCTCTTTTATTTATTATATATATAAATGACTTTCCTACTGTAACTAATCATCATATGACTTTATATGCCGACGATAGTACTATTTTATTTAATTATGATCGCTTAAGCAATACAGAATCTGACATATGTAATACAATTAATTCTTTAATCAATTGGCTGACATTAAATAATTTGACAATTAATTTTAACAAAACATACTTAATGAACTATTATCAAAGTAGTAATGATGCATCTAATCTTAAAATTAATTACCTAGATAATGCGGTAAAAGTAGTCGATTCAACAAAATTTCTAGGCCTAACTATAGATAGCAAGCTGTCATGGAAATCCCACATTGATAATTTATTAAAAAAATTAAACCAATTCTCATATGCGCTTCACAAATTACGGAAAGTTGCTAACATTAAAACACTATTAATAGCGTATCATGGGTATGTTGCTTCAAATCTTAGATATGGCATAATTTTCTGGGCTAACACTACGAATAAACAAAGCATCTTCAGAGCTCAAAAGAGATGTCTAAGATCTATGTTCGGACTAATGCAAGATGACTCGTGTGAACCATACTTTCGTAAGCATAAAATTCTTACACTGCCGTCTATGTATATATATGAAATTGCAAGTTTTATTAGAAGCAACCCACACTATTTTGATAAAAATCCTATTGGAAGTCGTCGAGAGGGCACTCTAAAGGTCACACATAAGTGTAGAAAACTTCTCAGTAGAATTTGCGTAAATTGTATGGCACCAACAATATATAATAAAATTCCGCTGCCTATTAGATCGATAAACGATAATAAACGATTTAAAAATGCACTCAATGGCTTTCTTGCTGAAAAAGCTTATTATGATATTAGAATGTTTTTAAATGATAAGTTTAACAATAATTGACAAAACTAAAATTAATACTTAGATTTTAAGTGACATTGTTGTAATTTTTAATTTTTATTGATATCTGACATTTTAATTTATCTAATCTAACATTTTAATCCATTTACTTAATAAGAACCTATAAGAATTGAAATAATTACTTAAATTTTTAATTGACATTGTTGTAATTTTTTTTTTATTTTATTTTTTTTATTGATATCTGACATTTCGATCTATATATCTGTTTTATTTTAATTACATTAATATTTTTACAATGTTCATATACCAACTAAGGTGAATCATGGCTGACCTTTTGTTTTCTTTATTACACCAATGTATTGTACCCATGTTTATGAACAAATAAATGAATATGAATAAATATATCAACTTGTTAACCATTGAGAAGCTGCAATAGGGATGATGACTGATTTTTGTCGGTCTGTCCGTCAGATAGATTAGAAGAATATAAAACACGTATTTTTTTATTTGTTGCGTAATCAATAAATTACGACGATACATTGAATTAAAATGTCGCATGACGTCACGCCTTCGTACTTTTTCTACGTAGCTGTGACGTAGCGACCACTATTCCTCAACTTAAATGCCCTTTCTAAGCCATTTCTTGTTAAATTGACACAAAAAATACGTATCTAATATATTTCAATTATCTAACTAGTGGACTAAATAGAATTTCCTTTATTTTACCCGCCATTATCCATATTGTACGGAACGTTGGTTGTATTTGATTCAAGTCGATGTCGCCAATCCATTCACAATGTAGTCCTGACAGTATGCATTTTAGTATGGATCAAAATTAATGAAATCATTTTATTGCACGAGCATGTCAAGAGTGAAAAGTTAGCTTCTGAAGATTATGTTATTTAGTAAAATAATTAATAGTATCATAATCACCCATCTACTGTCACATATATTAGAAAATATCATCATTTGCCTTCCCAATTATTGATTTGTGAATGGATCAATATGTGTTCTACACATGTCTTAATCAACCGTCATCTCAACATTTACTTCGTACAGTCTATTCATCTTTCTTTAGTTGTCCCTCTTTACGTTTACTTCCACATCAAGCTTAAGACATTCGAAATGTAGATTATCAACCATATCAGTTTGCTCACATTTATAATAAAAGATCCAAGACTTTTAGGAAAATAATATACCTGTCCAGAGTGTATCAGGGCATTATACCTGTCCAGAGTGTATGAAGCGAAATCTGCAGGGGCACCAGTTACTATGGGCGTACCTCAGGGATCGATATTAGGACCATTGCTTTTTCTAATTTATATAAATGATCTTCCTCACTTTACGAAGAATTTGTGCGAGACAGTATTATTTGCAGATGACACCTCTTTACTGTTTAAAGTTAAGAGGGGTAATGATTGTTTTGACGATGTAAATAATGCTCTCGACAACGTTCTACAGTGGTTTGATAATAATAATTTAAAGCTCAATTAAAATAAAACGAAATGCATAAAGTTTGCATTACCTAATGTGAGGCATGTCAGTACACTTATAAATGTAAATAGTGAAAAAGTTGAGTTGTGTTGACTGAGTTCTGCAGCTTTTGCTGTTAAGAAAATTAGACTCTTGACAAATGTTGAAACGGCAAGATTGGTATATTTTAGTTATTTTCATAGTGTAATGACGTATGGTATATTGTTATGGGGTTCTGCGGCTAGCATTCAGGATGTTTTCATTTTACAAAAGAGAGCTGTCCGTGCTATATATAATTTACGGTCTAGGGAATCTCTAAGAGAAATATTTAAAGAAATAAATATTCTGACTGTTGCCTCTCAATACATCTATGAGAATATTATGTATACAAGAAAACATTACGATTCCTTCACAAAAAAAAGTAGTGTTCATAATCTTAACACAAGAAATAAAGATAAACTTGCCGTTCCAAGCTTCAGACTTCAAAAAACCAGAGGATCATTTCTGGGTAAATGTATTGCTATGTTCAATAAAGTTCCACAAAATGTAATTGACCTACCCATAAATAAATTTCAAATTCATGTAAAGAATATACTTGTCAGTAAAGGCTATTATAAAGTTGATGATTATTTTAAGGATCGCAATGCATGGAATTAATAGCCTTCGCTTTGTTCTATAAAGACTAATTATATGTTCAACTTATGTCCTGCAGACTTTGAAAGTTGTATTTACTATTGTGATAAATTGATAATACATATTATTTTGGTAATGACATGATATATGTAAATGTCATTACTTATGATAAAAAGCTGATAAGTTTCTTTCGCTTGTTCTTCTTGTCAGCTAAAAGACGTCCTCAACAAGTGGTAGGGGAAAAAAGTTTTTGGACGATTCAAAAGTGCTTGTAATAGCCTACTTGAATAAAGATATTTTCATTTCATTTCATTACCTTGATCATTTCTTGGTGTGTGATTACAAACTCGTCCTCGTACAGCAGTGTACAGCGTACGGCGTGAGGTGAATGCGTGTGTATTACTGCGCCGGCGCCACGCTCACGGTACGCCAGCATGAAAAGTGGCGTGCATTGGCTTTTCTTCAACCTAAATTGCAAAACAATGTTTTTTTTTGTAATACTATTAAACAGTGGCACAGATAAATTCATAAGTAAAGACCGGATTATATACATTTGTATATGTAAGCCATGCTCATCACTTATAACCAGTGGTCGGAATTAGGTAGAGTTATTAAAGTGGATATGCCTCAAATCTCGAGATTAATTTTAAAGAGCAGAAAAAATCCCATAATTTTTTAAATAAAAAGTTATTTACTTTTACACAATTTAAACTACTGCACGCACGACGTTGCCAAACTTACATCAATGACATCGGATGTCCAAAGATGTCCAAGATTGTCCATTAGAAATCCTGGGAAGGTCCACATGAATATCAACATTTCGATGCAAATACATAAATAACTCTACCTAATTCCGACCTCTGCTTATAACATATATTTTCTAAAATATTGCTATGATGCGTATATTATTAATATATTTTGGGTACAACGCATTCACCACAGTAAGTATTTTAAATGCCAAAAGGTACAATATGATAATAGTGTCATATATCAATGGATACTTTACTAATTTACAACCTGTATGAATTAACATGACACCTGAAGGCCTACTCCATTTCTCTGGAGATGAAATATCATCTATTTTATTTATAGAATTGCGATCATTTATAATGAAATAAAAAGGTACGCCTTAATACTGCCTCTGATGCACAGATAAACTTCACAGATATGACTAACAAAATTATAAAAACTTCATGTCATGTTAATTTATACAGGTTATAGTTTTCTTTTTATTTCTTCCTAAAAGTAAAGTATAATAATAATAATAATAAAGCCGTTTATTTCCAACTTGGTATCTTATTTTCTTTACAATCTAAATGTCGTTAGTAAGATTGTTAGTAGTATATCTATAGACTAGTTGTTAGTAGTGTTAGTCAAGTCAATCTTTAAGTTGGACCCCTCTTAGGGTGAAGGCCTCCTCCAGCTTGTCCCATTTTCCTCTGTCCTTTGCCTTGAGCAGCCAGTCTTTCCCTGCTGTTTCCACTATGTCATCCTTCCATCTCTTAAACGGTCTTCCTACATTTCTTTTCCCTGTGGGACCTCTCCACCTGGTTGCTATTAGTGTCCATCTTTTATCGTTGTAGCGTGCCACATGTCCAGCCCATTTCCATTTTAGTTTAAGGGCCATGGTAAGTGCATCCCGAACTCCAGTCCGCTCTCTTATGGTTTCGCTTCTTATTTTGTGTACTTTTTTTATTTTAAGAATGCTTCTTTCCATGGCTCTTTGGGTGGTTCTTATTTTCCTTTTTATTTTGTCTGTGAGAGTCCACGTTTGGCAGCCATAGAGCAAGCTGGGCAGAATGCATGTATCAAGAACTATCTTTTTTAGGTTTATGTTATAGTTTCCTTTCAGGATTTCTTTCAGTGACCAGAATCTTCTCCATGTTATGCCTATTCTTCTCTCTACCTCTTCCACATTGTTCGACTTTGAAAATGACATTTGCTTCCCCAAGTATATGTATTGGTTGACATAGTCTATATTTTTTCCTTCTAACTTAATTGGTACTTGGTGGCTGTTGGTCATGATTTTTGTTTTTGAGGCGTTCATATGTAGGCCAACCTTTGTACTTTCATTGTTTAATTGTTGTATAAGCTCCTCAAGTTCTTTGGCAGTTTCGGCCATTAGGACTATGTCATCCGCAAAACGCAAATGATTGAGCTTACAGCCTTCTAGGCTTATGCCCTTTTTTTCCCAGTTAAGATTACGGAATATGCATTCTAGGACAGCAATAAAGATTTTGGGTGATAGGGGATCTCCTTGTCGGACCCCTCTCTCGATTTTTATTTCGTCGCCTTTTGTTTCAAGTTTTATTCGACTCGTACTTTTTACGTATATGTTTTTTAAGATGTTGATGTATTTTTGTTCGACATTTAGCTGTGATAGGGCGTTCCATATTGCGCTGTGGCTGATGCTGTCAAATGCCTTGCTGTAGTCGATGAAGGCGACATATAGGTTTCTGCTGAATTCTTTATATTTTTCCATGATTTGGTCCAATGTTTGAATGTGGTCGGTTGTGCTGAAACCTGCCCTGAATCCTGCCTGCTCCTTCGGTTGTGATTCATCTATTGTTTTAGCTATTCTATTTAATAGTATTGAAGAAAAGAGTTTGTAGATACTCGCCAGTAGACTAATTGGTCTGTAGTTTCCGATGTCCATAGGATTGCCTTTTTTATAAAGTAGTATGATGTCTGATGTACACCATTGTTCTGGTACAGTTTCTGAGTCTAGTATCATATTGAATAAGTGAGTTAGGTGGTGAAGTAGAATTGGCGCACCTAGTTTAAGGGTTTCATTTGACAAACCGTCTGGGCCAGGGCTTTTTTCGGCTTTAAGCAGTCTTATATGTTCAAATACTTCTCTTTCTTCAATTGGCTTCACTATAGAGCTTGTGTTGAATGTCTCGTCTGTTGCTTCTACTATATTGTTTTCATTTTTACTATATAATTCCTTATAAAATTTAGTTGCGTGGTCTATTACGTCTTTTCTTGACTTTGTTTCTTCTTTGTTGGTTTCTAGTTTTTGTATCCATGATTTGCTTAGACTTAGTTCCTTTATGGCTCTTTTGGTGCTTCTGTATTTTCTTAAATTTCTTGTTATTATTTCATGTCTATGTTTGCTGTAGTCCCTTTTAATAGAGTTCCTTGTTTCTTTAAACAGGTTGCTAAGCTTCTTTTTCTGTCCAGGGTCTTTTTTCTTTGTAGACATTATTTCGGTACGTTCTTTGATTAATCGTATTGTATTTTCACTGAAGATTTTGTTAGTTTTTTTGTGGTGCGACTCGGTTCTTTGTTTTATGCTGATTTGTATTGATTCCTCTATTTTTTTGTAATATTCCTGAACATTTGATTTTTCTGATATACTTTCTAATTTCCTTGTCAAGCATCTGAAGTAGTTTTGTGCCTCTTCTTCGGACTTGATAGTTCTCGGCAGTGAAGTGAAGTTTTTTCTGCTTTTTATAGGGTGATTCAAGACGAAGGTTGCTCTCAGTAATCTATGGTCAGAAGGGAACATCACCTTGCTCATTACTTCGTAATTTGTAATCATTTTAGGATTATTGGTCATTATAAAGTCTATTTCATTCCTTGTTTTCTGATCAGGTGATATCCACGTCCATTTTCTGTTTGGCCTTTTTTTGAAGAAAGTATTCATTATAGATAGGTTGTATTCTAGTGCGTAGTCAATTAATTCTTCTCCTCGTTCGTTGCGTTCTCCATAGCCGTAGTTGCCCATGATAATCTTTTCTTCCTTCTTTGGATGTCCTACTTTTGAGTTGAAGTCGCCCATTACGATTACTTTGTTGTCAGCTATGTTGTGTGCTTCTTTTATGTCGTCGTAAAATTTCTGGACTTCTACTTTATTTGATTTTTCAGTGGGCGCGTATGCTTGTATTATTGATAGATCTAACTCTTCAAACTTAAGTTGCAGAAGCGCTACTCTTTCTGAGATTCCTATGAAGTTTCTTATTTGATTTTTTAGCTTCCTTTTAATTAGGAATCCCACTCCATATAGGCCCTTTGTTTGCCCGATGTAGCAGAAGATATAGTTTTCATTTTCCTCGATGTTGCAACCCATCCTTCTGACTTCGCTTAATCCTATTATGTCATGATTAATGTGTGCTAGCGCGTTGTTTAGTTCTAGGTACCTCTCTGTTGATGCCAGAGACCGTACGTTGTAGGTGCAAATGTTCAGTGTGGTTTTATTTCTAATGTATTCTTGTTGTTTTTGTTGTTGGTGTTGCTTCTGGTGATGTTTCTGTTTCACTGGAGGGTCACGGTCGTATTTCCCCACGGTGACCGCTGACCGGCTTGGGGAAAGATAGTTTTTGGTTGTTGTGGTCTTTTCTGTTTTGATGCGTTTCCGGGGGTCTGTTGGTTGCTATTGTGTGCTTGTGGTTGATTGTGACGTTGTCCTTGGGCGATTCATAAATTCAAAAGCGTTTGTTTTGTTTATTTTGCTTGGTGCCTTCTGTGGTATTTCTTCGTTGACCTTTTCCTTTTCTCTTTAGTGATGTTTGAGTCAGCCTTCCCTTTAATTATTAGTTGGTCATATCGAATCACAGCCTTGTTCCCCTTCTTGAGTTCTTCTTTCAGTTTGATTTTTAGATCTTCTCTGGTTTTCAGGACATCTTTTGGGTAATCTTCTGTGACATAAATACCGGTGGGGAATTGTTTGTTATGTTTTAAAATTTCCAATCGCCTCCATGAAAGCGTAAGTTTTATCAGTATCGGTCTTTGTTTATTGTCTTGTTTTTTGCCCAGTCTATAGGCGTCGCTTAGCTCCCATTTGTCGAAAGGATCTAAATTTGCAGTTTTGCTTACGGCATTAAACGTGTCAATCACCAAAACTTGAAGGTCGTAACTGTTTCCTTCAGATTCTTTGATCCCGTGGAGGATAATATTATTCTTTCTCGATTCCTTTTCTAGGCTTCGAACTTTGTTTTTAAGAGTTGCTACTTCATTTTTCAGCACTTTGTTTTCTTCTAGAATTGGTTTAAGCTTTTTATCAATTGTTGAAGCTAAATCGTTCGTGATCTTCTCTGTTTGAGCATTCATTTGGCGTCTGAAATCTTCTTTCATATCGTTCATATTTGTATTTATGTTTTCCACTTTTTCTAGCAATAATTGTATTTGTTTCTCCATGGTCGTTAAATTTACTAGATAGGTACCTACCTACCAAATTCGTAGGATATTTTTGGTAGCAGCAACACTGGACTGCGATTGGAATTTTATTTATTTTTTATTTTTTTATTTTTTTATTGTCTATGGTTATGGCAGCTCAGTCAGTTAAGTGTCAGAATGTGTCAGAATGCCGGTTAAGTGTCAGAATGCCGGAAGTTTTTTGTTGTGATGTTGTTTAACCTGTCCAATCCACCGTGTTGTCTATATGAGCTTATGTTTATATTTGTTAGGTTAGTTGGTGTTTTGCACTCTTTTATACCACTTTGCAAAGTAAAGTATATAAATCATAAATGTTGCACATTTTGTCAGTTCTCATGCATATATCAACATCAAATTGCATATAGTACGGTCCCTAGTCATAACTTAATAATATCTCTCTCTGCATTATTTATCAATATTTATCAATTTTGCGTTCAGTGTTATATTGATTCTCTTGAGATGACTTCTCAAGAGAAACTGTTTCAAAAAATTCATCAGGTCTAGGTGGATCTTACTTTTTTGCAGCAGGGGGCAATTCCAAATCCTCATCATCAATAGTTTGAACAAATAAGTCATCTGGTTTCATACGTTCCTTTTGTACTCCTGATGGTGCTATGAAAATTTTATCCCTGTAACAAATTTTATTTATAAAAATGAAAAAAATGTTACATTTACCCTGGACTCGTAAATTATGATTTTCAATTATTTCTATCCAAACTAAAGTTAACTTCTAATAAAACAATTTTAGGTTACAAGATTTGTAATTAAAGTCTAACATTTGGCATACATTTTACATTTTCAATGACGGTCTCAAATGTTTTTCAAGTTTTATCACAGTTTTCGAACAAGGTTTCGCATGCTGTCTAGGCACACACAACATATATCTCTAGGTTTTACTTGTAAATTCAGGTATTTAGACTGATTTTCCTAATTTAAAGGTCTCATAAATCAACTCTATTCATGGTGGTGCACAGACAGACGATAAATCAAATGTGTATACAACACTATCTTATTTTCATGCAGTTGCACTAACATCCATTACAATTGCCTATTTTCAAACAACACGATGGATACAAATTTGTTTATGTGCAACTGACCATTTATATTTTAAATTGTTATCTGTGACAATAAGAATTTCTTTATTTTGTATATTTATTTGAATAAATCAAATTGGTAAGGTGTTGTTTACAACATACCCTTCTTTGATTGAGATTCCACCTCCAGTCCCTGTAACCCATCCTAAGTGATAAAATTGATTACAAAGTTCAGGAATCAATTTTCTAGGGTGTTCCTGGAATATTTGAAAATATAATTAGATAGGTACTTTAACAAGTTTAAGAATTTTTATATACGATTTTCAGTATGTTACTATGTTATAGTAATAATAATATTTACATACATTTAGGAACTGCAAATAGTGGTAAATACAATTCCCCAACTATGGTAATCTAAGTTTTGGAAGTTTTACTAATTACTACCTATACATCAACAGAATTTATTAGCCGATTAAATTATCTATCAGAAACATGACAAATCTTAGCTTTTAAAAAGAAATTTCACGACGAGCTACATACTAGACTTTGTTATATAATTTGATTAACGCCTATAGAAGACATTGTGTTTAACTAAACCTTTAAATAGTTAAAAAGCAATTTAAATAGTATCATCATCTTAAACCGTATTGTAAAACTTAATAAACAAGTTATACTTACTTCACTAAGGTCGTTCATTTTCACATTGAACTTATGTACAGATTATATTATCTTATCTCTAAATAACTTGTATTTGTTTGAATTAAAGGCATATTAAAAATATACACTTTATAATAACATCGTTTAGGGATGCAACGATATATCAGAATTCGGAGAACCGGTACATATCGATATATCGACGCCACATAAATATAAATTATATGTATTAATATCGAAATAACAGCGATATCGATATCGAAAAAACCAACATATTGAAAACTAATATTAAATGAAATCCTGAGAGTAAATGTATATTTGTACTTAATAGCAAAATAGTGTTATTCGTAATAGTGTGATCGATATATCAACTTTAGGAAGTGATATATCGATATTTTTAAGAAACAGTATCGACTTACTGACTTAGACATTGTTGGTTTTTGGTAAAATGAAAGACAAAGGAACTTAACCCATACAGTTTTATTTCTGATAATAATACTTTTCTTTTCATTAAAACGTAATCATATTTTTTTCTATGAACATTGTGTTTGAGTTCAACATCATAATACTTTGTTAAAAAAGCTAAGTAAAAGAATGAAACTAAATTATTTAGAAAAGCTTCGGTAATAGGGTTTTGTACTTATTTGAAATAATACTTTAAACTGTTTATTTTAATTTTAAAAAGCCTTATATTTCGGAAACATAAACACGTTTTCTTGCCAAAATCAAAATTTAAACTTTAAATAGCCCGAAGAATAGCCCGAGTTAGGACGGTCACATTTTATTCTATGAAAATAAGGCGTCTGTATAGTTTATGTTTATCTGTGACTATATGCACAAAACAGATGAATAGAGTATAAAATTAAATGATGTCAATAAAACAACAATAGTGCCATCTAATGATCAATTTCGAAACAAATATAAAAAAGCTAAGAACAGCGCCATCTAGAAATACTAGGATTTATAATTACTAAGCACATCTTTGTCTAATCTGACAGTTGTTGCCGCAGTGACGTCACACAATGGCGGGTCGTGTTTCAAGTTACGTGACACACAGACAAAACTAACGACTTCATTTTAAGATTTATGATAATCGTTGCGATTTTAACAGCCAATTGCACAAACGTCCATTTACCGATACAAATTTGACATTCTTAAACATTATAAACGTTTGTGCAACTGACCATAAGACTGAATCAGAATTTGTTTATTACGATGTAATTTTTTTGTGCAATTTCGTTACTTATTTTTCACTACCGAAACTACCCTATTTGTACAGCATGGTAACTTGCCTTTGATAAATATCGATAAAAGTTTTTATTTTAAATAAAAATTTCAGTTTATTCGAAATTATAAAAAGAAATTGATCGATAACGTATTAGATGTACAGTCAACGGCACTTTAGACTATTCAAATTAAGACTCTTATCTAATTTAATCTGACAAAAAAACCTTTTGTCTGCCTCTTTCGGGTCTGTTCGCTATGCGAACACCTTACAGGCTTAGATTATATAATATTTCACGGTTACTAAATGTAACAGGTAAATAAGTCTAGTTTGGTAAATATAAGAAAAATACAGACACTTTTGGTTAGATTTATTTGACATAAATTAACTATATGGCTTAGTTACACTAGTCGATCTTTACTTTATTGACCAATGAGATGAGCCCACAGTGGTCGCCCGCGCTTTAGTGCAACTCAGCCAATAAGAGTTATTTTAGGCTTGACAATTGATCCATCTCGGTGATTTAGGTTCTGGCTTTATATAATTCAAAATTGGATATCTTACTGCTTCCTTATATGAGCTATTTGTATATCCTTCATCATTTAACTTCTTCTTGTGCCTCCCTAAAATAAACATCGTTTTTACATTATTATATGCAACCGTTATTTTTAAATATTAAAATTGTAAGTCAATGGTAGTTTTTTTAAACACTTATTTCTTGAATAGTCATTCTATCTATTGTGTTCGAATATTTTCCAAACAATATCTTCTAGGACAAATAGTCAGAACTAACTTGCTGTGTTTCTTTACCTTTGCGATTAGCTGTAGATTTTTTCGACATGGATCCATATTCAGTCTGTAAATAGATACAGCAAATGTAATGTCATCAAGGAATTCAATTCTTCGACAAAATTATTTATCACGTTATCATTATTGGATAAAAATTATCTACATAATTTTATTAAGGACCTATTTACTTACACGCGAGAAAGTATTTATTTGGTTATATAGAGTCAACACCTCAGGGACACTCGGTAAATTGGACTTGTGATGTTTCACTACAAAATTTTGCTCTATAACACACTGGACAGCTTTCATGCACTTCACACTGACGGATTTCTTGTTGTTGCTAGATTCGTGATCTAAAGTTGCCGTCTCGTTTGACTTCGAGAAGTCAAGATCAACACGCATGCAACAGCTGGGTCCGCTACATACTGATTTCTTACGAGGACATGATGAGACTTCACCCTGAAAACCACAAAAAGAGGCTTTATTTCAAGAATGATAATAAAAAAAAATTACGTAAACTTTAATTAAACAGGGCTTTTAATAAATTAATTTATTTTTTATTTATTTTAATTGTTACACATGACAGAATTACAACAATATACAATAATAGGCAGCAATTCCACAAATATGCGTAAACAGCATGCACAATCAGCAACAACATTAAAATCAAAATAGTTATAACTTTTTTTTCCAAATTAAAAAGCATTTTATCTTTTACATTAAATAAAATAACAATAATAATAGTAATTATAATCCCATTCATCACATATAAAAAAAGGTTAAAAAGATCATTACATTATCTATCATTTCACATTTTATTGACAAAAGATAAAACATCAATAAAAAAAATAAATAAAAAAATTAAGATAATTAAGATAATAATAAAAAAAAGATGGATTAGACTTATGATTCAAAATATCGATTAAAATAAATTAATAATATATTTTAATAAATAATTAAGACAATAATAAACAAAAAACAAAAAACAGATTAAAATCGTGATTTAAAATTTAATTAAAATAAGATTCAATAAATAAATGCGTTAAATGACAGTTTAAACAGCGCTCAATTGTGGGCACTTTAGCAGCATTTGAAGAGTGTGGTGGTAATATAGGAGTGATATGATCGGTGATTATATATGTAGTGGGCCAATCGTTGAATTGGGCCGATCGAGCATATCACAATATGCCGCCATTTCTTGATTCGGCAAGGAAAATCACGATCGGCCCAGATGAAAGTTTGGCAGATTGACAAAAGCAACGTATTTGTCATTTAGCCTGATTTTTATTGTTTAAATAAACAATTATTATCTAAACTTCATTTTCTTTCCTTATATACAAAGATGGGCGGTAGGAGAAAACCCGGGTTGTTGCTCAAGTCTCCTAACAAAGTATAGGTACCTTGGTCATCTTACAAAATCGATTGGCCTGAGTATAGTCGGGTAAATTGTCAAACGTTAAGCTTAGAACGATATGGCGGATGATAGATGGCCCAATCGATAAATTGCAGCATATCTCGATCGGCCAACGATTGGCCCACGACGTACTTATGACAAAGAGTTCTATATATGAGCCAAAGTAGCATTGTGGCTATTATGACTTTTTGGTGATATGCACACAAACTTATATGTTTATCGTTACAAACGTTCTTAGAGACTTTTTAAACGTAAAAGGGCATCAAAGGGACGGAGTTAGACAAAGTTTGAGAAAATTTCAAAATTAACTTAATTTTGAAAGAGCATTGAAATATAATCAATAAATATATAAATAAAGAGTAAATCTGTCACAGAAAATATCACAACTTCAGATGTAGATATACTTTAAAGAATATAACGCTTTCAAACTAAAGAAGCCTTTCCTTAGGTCATGATTTTGCTCTTCAGTCTTTATAAATGACAGCCTTCGTGGCCGAGTTGCTTGCGCACCGTTAAAATGTCACGATTTTGAAATCCCGGGTTCGATTCTCGTTTGGTCCAACGTAGTAAATGAACTTTCTATATTGTCTCGGGTCTAGTTATATGTTGTAATAATAAAAATGCTGAGATTTTCTTCATTTGGGACCTGAGTAAGATATTGGTTTGTATTAGAGTTCTTTGTAAGGCCCAATTATTTTTCTTCGTTTGTAAAGATTTATTAGATTCTAATTATGAAATTCAAATAAATGTAAATCAACATACAGGTTTGTTTTGTTTGTCCTGATTTGTACTGCATACGTTGATGCGTGATGATTTCGTACATATACAAGCCTTAGGACCATTAGGACAGTGACATTCACTTGTTCCACCCCATCGGCCACAATGTTCCTATGTCAGAAATGTTAAAATGACAAAAATGATTAATATTTTTAATAAAAAAATGAAAGCGTAGCATTGTTAATGCAAAATTGATCATTAATATATAATGAATTTATAATATTCTCGATAGTATCTACCTTTTTTGGAACAGTTCCTACGTCAACTTTTGGCGCTGGTGGCGGAACTTTTACTCCTTGCAAACAAAGCATCAATTGCTTATATGTATCCGCATCCATCTGGCTCAAAAATATATTTGATTTAAGAAAAATAGAATGCAATAAATTAAACGTTTGACATGTACAACGATCTACTTGTATTTGTAAAATATCCAATATACAAATTGAAAATTTACATTTTGCCATACCTCACATCTTGTTTTAATTGCACCACCAATAATAGTAGAATTCAAATTCTTCTTGACAGTGTTTATTATAAAGTTCTGCAATGTCTTTCTTGTCTCTTCATTGAGTTTACCATTTCTACTCTTTTTTAAATAGTTCAAAATTGTTTTTGCTACTGCTTTACCAGCAGGAGTCTCAGCATAACTTGCTAATACGGTATTCATATTATTAAAAACATTATCCATAAACTTCTGTTTCGTGGCAATGCACACACATTCCTTTGTAGCATCTGGGAAGCAGTGACCATTTTCATTAAGACAATTTCTTTCTTCAAGACATCGTGGGCAATCGGTACAGAACTTTGTCACATCAGATGTATCGACGCATTTGTGACACGGCGTACATCGTACTTTGAAATTAGCTATATCAGAATCAATTTTAGCGATTTCTTTCAATATGTTCTTGTCTTTATGTTCGCATTTCCTTTTACATTCTTGGAAAATCTTTTTTACAACATCAATTTCATGTTTAAGTGATTCTT